TATATATATATATATATTTGGTACAAGTTCTCACTACCCAGCTCATACTCTTGTAAAGTGATCCTCCAGTTTTCAGCCTCCCCAGCGCTGGGATTACAGGCGTGCACGACCACACCCGGTCGTCGGTGGCCTCAGCATGCCTGGGGGCCGGCCCTTACCTTACTATTACTTTACTTCTTCAGATCTCTGAGACCTCCCTTCTGCCTCAAACTTATCGAAGCTCAACTGTGTCCTGTAGGGGGCAGCAAACTGCCCTGTGTGCCTGTGAAACCTCCAACCAGGCCTGTATTGCAGAACCAAGGAGTGAGCCGCCAGGCCAAGAGATTTACCCTTGAAAGACTTTTTTTTTTCCTTCAAAGAAACAACTGCCCTTGGTGTGAAAACTGCATTCATTTCCTTTTTCTGTCACTTTCCAGAGGAAATGGTCTTGGAAGAATGTAGGGCACAACACTATGAGCAGGGCTCGTCCAGGGAGTGCACTATACTCATTGTGTAAGTGTAGAAACAAATGACTCAGTTTATAACTGCAAATGATTGTCGTGTGTGTGTGTAGTACCAGGGATCAAACTCGGGACCTTGCCCTTGCCAGGCAGGTGTTTTTTGATGCTTTGAGACAGGATCACATTATGCAGTTTTTGTTGTTGTTGTTTTTTGGTACCAGGAATCAAACTCGCAAACTTGCACTCACCAAACAGGTGCTGTGTGCCACTGAGCTGTCTCCTGGGCCCATCCCTATGCAGTTGAGGCTGGCCTTGAGTTCACTTTGTAGCCTAGGCTGGTCTTGAACTCTCATTGATCCTCCTGCCTCAGCTTCCCCAGTGCTGGGACTACAAATGTGTTCTATCATGCCTGGCAATGACTGTCTTTAACTGACCCCCTTTTTAAAATAAGTGTTGGGGCTAGGGAGGTAGCTCAGTGGAGTAAATGCTTGCCTGACAAGTGCAAGGGTTCGATCTTTGGTACTGCAAAAATAAATAAATGAATGAATGAATAAAATAAATGTGAATGAATGTTTTATTAACTAAGTAGTAAAGTGTTTTAGTAGCATACCCTTTGTGTAGGGTATATATATATATTTTTTTTATTTTTTGTGGAACCAGGTATTGAACTCAGGCCCTTGCGCTTGCCAGGGAAGCACTTATTCCACTGAGCCATCTCCCTTGCCCCCCATTTATTTTGTTTTTATGACACAGTTCTCTAAGGACTTTTACACATGCCAGCTCTCAGAATGAGAACCCAGTGAATTTGAGAGAAAACAGTTAATTTCCAAAGGGGCTCTTAAGTAGATTCATTTCTCTGAAGAAAGGAACAAGACTTGTTTGATTACTATGTTAGCCAGAAAGAACCAGCGCACCCTGAGAAATGAGGCGGATGGAAGAATCACAGGCTGTTCTGCAGAGCCTTTTGTCTAAAACCAGGACAGGCAATACCTGCTCATCCTCACCTGCTGAGCAAGCTCATTTCAGTTCCTCTGGATAATCCAAGATCTGGAAAACATGACGAATTCTTTTCACTTGCACAACTGTCGGTCTGCCCGTGGTCAGCCATTCCTTCTGAGTAGGTGTAGGGTTGGAAATCTCATGCCAGCTTTTTGCAGATGGGGAGCTGAAGGTGCTTTGAACCAGGTGTCTTCAGTTGCTTTGTCAGTACTAACAACCTCATTCAAATCTGGGTCTTCTCAAGCTCAAGGCATTCTGATTCACAAATCTCGGGCCGGGGAGACAGCTCAGTGGCATAAGCTCCTGACTGGCATGCGCAAGGTCCAGAGTTCAATCCCCAGTACTGAAGAAGAAGAACAACAACAACAAAAAAAAAACCAACCTCTCACAAATCTCAACAACAGTTCCAGGCAGATACTATATTAAGCAACTAATGATACAAAAGATAACCACTTCCTGATTTCAAGTACCTCACAAAACATGCCATTCTACCACCCCTATTCTGTCAGAAATTTTTATGGAGTAATGAACACAATGATAGGATTAGAAGAATTATAGTCCTCATTCTAATTATTTATTCATTTGTTAAGCTAGAGCCTCCTGCATACTAGCCAAGCACTCTAGCACTTTTTTTTTTTTTTTAGTTCCTAAAGATTGAATCCAAAGCCTTTGCATCTCCAGTCCCTCCCTTTTGAGACGGTTTCACTAAATTCCCAGGGTGGGTTTTGACCTGCACTCCTCCTGCCTCAGCCTTCCAGAGTGTTGGGGTTACAGGCATGTGCCACTATATCTGGCTTGTACCACTACCACTATTTTTTGTAAAAAACAAAACAACAACAAAAACCTACGATGTAGAATTACCTAGGACCACATTACCTAGTTTCTGGGCCAGGAGCAGAATACTAGGTTTTCCTTCCAGTTTTATTTTTGGTTTGTCTGGAACAGGGTCTCATTATGTGGGTTAGGCTGTCCTTGGACTCACTCTGAAGCCCGGGCTGGACTCAAATTCACAGCCATCCTCCTGCGTCTGCCTCCCCAGTACTGAGGTGTGAGCCACCACGACTGGCTCAGTTTTCTTTTCACTGCTGATTTGCCTGCAGGTTATGGTTCGATTCTCACAGATAACAGTCAATCTAAAGGTCAAAGTAGAAGCCTGGAACCCAGCAGAGGACACCGGGAGTGGTTAATAAGGGGTGGGCAGTGGGGAGCAGGTGTAGTTACGAGGGAAGAAAAGAAAGCTCTCCCAGCGCCTTAACGCTGGCACAAAGGAATCATGAAATCAAGTCTCGAGGTTCAAGCATGCACGCACACACACACACACCCACACCCCAGAGAAACCTGGTAGCTCCTGTAGCTTCTGCCCCTTGAAACGGTTTGGATCTGACGAAGCGCAGGGATGACAGGCGTGCACCACCACAAGGCACGGGTGGCGATAGAAGCGGAACCGGGGCTCTGCAGAGGCCCTTCGCTGACCCTGCACCCACTAACCTGTGAGCCTGCCCACCCACCACTCCGCTCCCTCTAGCTTTCCGGCACCTAATTTTCCCGCGCTCCTCTTTCTTTCCCAGAAAGAAAACCTCTGAGGGATTGGTGGTCTGAACTGGCGGGAAGCGGTGGGCACCCACAGGAGTTTACACACTTTAATGCTCATCTACCTATCTCATGGGATTCTCGTTACGAAGGCTTGGTCTGGAATCTACGAAGCTTCGGACAAAGGCTCAGATGCAGGGGCAGCTGCAGCGATTTTGGGGGCACTCCCAAGACCCTACGAGGACCAGCCATTGCTCCTATGAAGGATCAGACCAATACAGCGGGGGGCGGGGCTTGAACTCCGGGGGCGCGGAGATAGGCCAGGGACTGGTAGCCAATACAAATGAGGCAGTGGAGTCACGTGATTCCAAAGTACCCAATTACAGTCCTACTCCGAAATCTATCCAGGCTCTGGGTGGGGACCAGAGATTGACTGGCCTGGGAGTGCAGGTCACGTGATGGGAAAAGGTAAACATAGCCACGTGGGTTTTCTCTTCCCTCTTCTAGGAAAGGTTACACAATACTGTTCTTTCGTGGAACACTTATTTAATGAGCGTGTTTCGTGTGGCACTGTAGAAATACTGTGGTTGCTGCCGCATAATTCTGCCTTCGGTTTACTCTCTGTCCAATATTTATTATTATTATTTTATTTATTTATTTATTTTGGTGGAGCCGGGGATTGAACTCGGGCGCCTGCGCTTGCCAGGGAAGCGCTTATTCCACTGAGCCATCTCCCCGGCCCCCCATGTTTATTTATTTTTTTTCCATGTTTATTATTTCAAACCATCCTAGCCTTTATAATAGAAATTTCCAGGGCCAGCGATATAGCCCAGTGGACTAAGCGCTTGCTTAGGTAAGCTCAAGGGCCAGGATTTGATCCCTGGCACTGCATGCCGCGCCGGCCCCACCCCTGGGCTCGCTGAGCCAGCGATAGAGTCTGGGCGTGATGGCGCACGCCTGTAATCTCAGCGCTAGGAAGGCAGAAATCAGGAGGATCACTACGAGTCCTAGCTGCGTAGTTACACCCCGCACACACACACAGGCACAAAAAGAAATGGCCAGGTGCAATATTCTACCACTCATACTGAGCGTCCAGCAGATGCTGATCAAAATTTGTGTGTGGGATGGGGGGAGTTGGACTGGGGAGATAGCTCGACAGTCCAAGCGCCTGCCTGGCAAGGGCAAGGACTAGGGTTTAATCCCCGGTACCACATGCTGTGCCGACACCAGAACCCCAGGCGTGGGACGCTGGCCACCAAAACCAGGCACACACCTGTAATCCAAGCACTGGGGAGGCTGAGACAGGAGGAATCGCTATGAGTCTGAACTGCTTAGTGAGACCCTGTATCATATTTAAAAAACCAAACATTGAATGGTACTTACAGTTGGAGAGGTATGAGGATAACTAAATAACTGCCCAAAATACCATCTACAGTAGAGAGTAGTTATATATTCCCTCAGTAAAAACAACTGCAGACAGTTACTAGCAATACATCATTTTGATCTGAACCCTAGATATATTGTATTCTCGTTTTGTACATTACCTGGTCCAGTGGGTCCAATGTAAATGTTCAATATGCAGTGATTGAATAGATGCATAGAATGAAGAGGAAATGGGGCCAAAAATAAGGTCATGTGCATTTCCTTCTTCAACTTGAAAGCCCTTTACTGCCTGCACATGGCCAGAAGTGGCACTTTTCTGTCATTCTCCAGTGGTTTGAAGCTTTTTTTGTTTTTGTTTTTGTTTTTTTCTTGTGGAACCCGATATTGAACTGGGGATTGAACTCAAGCCCTAGCGCTTGCCAGGCAAAGGATTATATCTTCTGAGCTATCTCCTCAGCCCTGAAGCTATTTCTTGGTGACCTCTCTCTGTCTCTTTTTCTGTCTCTCTCTTTTTCTCCCTTCCCCTCCCACCTGTCTTTTTAAAACAGGGCTTCACTATGCAGTTCAGGCTGGCCTTGAACTCAGTTTGTAGGGTAGCCCAGACAGCGATCCTCCTGTCTCACCTCTTCAATGCTGGGATTACAGGTGTGCAGCACCATGCCTGGCACCACTCCACTGGTCTTTCTTGTCTTTGCTTTTGTAGTTCAGTTTAATCCCCTGACCCTCTATTTTAATGAATTTTTTTCTCCTTTTTCTTTTCTTTCTTTCTTTTTTTTTTTTTTTTTTTTTTTTGAGACAGGGTCTTGCTGTGTAGTTGAGGCTAACCTCAAACTCAGTGCTATCCACTTGCCTCAGGCTCCTGAGTGGTGGCATTTATTTTACTTGTATATTTTTTTGTCTTTTTGAGGCAGGACCTCGCTATGCAGACTGGCCTTGAGCTCACTTTGTAGCCCAGACTTGTCTTTAACTCTCAATGGTCCTCCTGCCTTGGCCTCCTGAGTGCTGGGATTACAGGCTTGCGCCACCAGGCCCAGCATAATGTGAGCATTTAATGAGATGCTTTGGGGAGAGCTCTTAGTGGGAAGTGGTGTGCAGTAAGTACTCCATCAGTGGAAGCTGCTCCTGCTTATTGTATTTGATTAGTACAATGTAAAAATCAGCTTATAAGGTATGGGAAAGTCAGGGCCGGAGGATGGCTCAGTGGGATAAGCACTACCCTGGCAAGTGCAAAGACCTGAGTTTAATTCCCAGTTCCGGAAAAAAAAAAAAAAAAAAAGGTATGGGAAAGTCTATTTATTTATTTACTTATTTAAGAGATAGGGTCTTACTGTACAGTTTGGACTAAAGCTAACTTCAAACTTGCAACGATCTTCCTCCTCAGTGCTGGGGTTACAGGTGTGCCCCACCATGCCCTGCTGGAAGGCTTTAGAAAAGGTAAGAATTGGGCTGGTAAGATGGCTCAGTGGTCTAAAGCACCTACTTAGAACAAGCTTAGCAAAGCACATGGACCGCGGTTCAATCCCCCAGCACCACATGCCAGCCAGCCCGCCTCCTGGTGGGCTGAGCTGGCCACACACACACACAAAAAAATAAATAAAATAAATAAAAAATTGTCTGGTAGTTCTATTTCTAAAAAAAAAAGAAAAGGTAAGAATTGTAGAAAAATGGTTTCACAGCAGTCAGAAACACAAGTAGAGTGAGGCAATGGAATCTGGCTCAAGCTAAAGCAGAGCCAGGCAGGCAGCTCCAAGGGTGTACTCAGTTGTCAGAGTCGCTAGGTTCACTGTCATCAGCAAGCAAGGGACCTCTCCTATTGACCTCGGCTTCAGAAATAAGATTTACTTGTAGTACTGTAGGTCACAGGACCAGAGAAGACAGAGACGCAGTCGTGGTACAGGGTGCATAGCCGATAAGGCAGTGGTTGATAATCGTAGTTCAGGTTCTGAGGTGTTTGATTCCTGAAAATGTCCTAATTAAATTCAGCTTCTGGGGCTGGAAGGAACGATGATAGCCGTGCACTCAGAGGCCGAGGCAGGAGGAGCGCTGTGAGTTTATTTGAGGCCAACCTGTGCTATGTAGTAAGTTCAAGGCCAGCTTGGACTATATAGTGAGACTCTGTGTCAAAAAACAAAAGAGGGCCAGCCAGCTAGCTCAGCGGACTAAAGCGCCTGCTTAGGCAGATGCAGGGGGTAGGGTTCGATCCCCAGCATGCTGTGCTTCCCCCCCAGGGCATGCTGAGATGGCAATTGAGACTGGGCATGGTGGCATGCACCTGCAATCTCAGAACTTGGGAAGCTAAAAACAGGAGGATCACTACGAGTCCGATCTATATAGCAAGACCCTGTAGACCCTGTACTGACTACATTAAAAATAAAAACAAACAACCCACAAAACCAGACATGCAGTCTATCAACAAGGTGCTTTATTGGAGGGCATAGGGTAAGGTGCCGGGCATTAGGCAGGCAGGAGAAGCTTTGCAGACACTGCTTCCTAGCAGTATTTTTTGGTGTCGAGATCCTTGTGCTCCTTGATGTACGGAGCCTTGGAGAAGCAGATGGCAGCTTCGCGGTCACAGTTGCAGATGAAGGCTTCGCACTCTTTGTTTTGGCCTGAAAAGGAGAAGGCCGAGTCAAGGTGGACCCTGCTTGGTACAACCAGGGGCAGGAAGAATCGCCCGGAATAGGCTGCTGCCCCCCTCCCCGCCCATTGGTGCAGATTCAGTGTTTGGAGATTAAACCAGAGAAAATACATCAGGATACACAGTTACATTTGACTTTCGGATGGTCAGTAACTAATCCTGGAGGCATCTGTGGACTAAAAGATCTTTCTTATTGGTGGCCATGGTGGTGCACACCTGTAATCTCAGCTGCCGTGGAGGTTGAAGCAGGAGGATTACAAATTCAAGACCAGCCTGGACAATTTGGTGAGTCTGCCTCAAAAATTTGTTAAAAATATTGGCCAGGCTTGGCAATCCGTGCCTGTTAAATTCAGCACTCTGAGAAGCTGAGGCAGAAGAACTGTAGATTGGAGCCCCGACCAAGCAATGTAGTGACTTAGTGAGAAGTTTCAAAAGATAAAAAAGGGCTGGGGTGGAGTTCAGGGTGAATGCACAGGGCTCAATTCCCAATACTGCAAAACAGATAAATCGAAGATGGCAGTTGTAGCTTGGTGCAAAGTCCCTGGGTTCAAGCCTCAGCACCCCACACAAAATTGTTGTTTATCTGAATTTTGGGTCTGCTGTATTTTATCTGGTGATTCTAGGTTGTTTTTGTTTGTTTGTTTTGTTTTGTTTTTTGAGAAAAGGTCTCACTTTGTAGTTTAGGCTGGCTTTGAGTTCACTATGCAGCCCTGACTGACCTGGAACTCACAGTGATCCTCCTGCCTCAGCCTCCCAAGTGCCGGGATTACAGCGTGTGGACCAATATGCCTGGCCATATCTGGAGGGTCTAGGTTTGATAGCTAATTTTTGAAAAGTCCTATTTCCATATGAATTCACTGATTTCAAAACCTATACAAATGCATATCCCTGATACACAGGCAAATACTATAAGCCCTTAAGGAAACCCTTAAAATTTATTTATTTATTTTGTGGAACCGGGGATTGACCTCAGACCCTTGTGCAGGGAAGCACTTATTCTACTGAGCCATCTCCCTGGCCCCAATTTATTTATTTTTTAATACATTTTTTTAAATTTTGGAAATAGGGTCTCATTATGTAGCCCACACCGGCCTTGAACCTGTGATCCTCCTGCCTTGGCCTCTCAAATGCTGAGATTACACACTTGTGCCACCATACCTGGCAGTAAACCAGTTTCTGTACCTCCTTAAAGTACATATTTCTAATGGCGTGCGCCTGTAATCCCAGCTCTTGGGAGGCTGTAAACAGGAGAA